CACTGACCCTGTACTATTGGCACTGGGCAGGTAGGGGTTAACATCTGGGGCGATCAAAGGGTTAACTGTGTGCTGTTTTACTGTAAGCTGTGTGTGCTTCACTGTAAGCAAACTGCTTTGTATGGCTTTTGTATGACCAGGGAGAGAACTGTATTGTTTACTTAAATTTCTCTCCCTCCGTTGGTAATGCTCAGCAATCACTGGGTGTCAGCGAGTAATCTCCAGCCAGGACTCGGTGATTGACAGCTGAGGCTGCGAATAACGGTGCGGTAGGGAAATGCAAAATGATCTATATATACATGATTTTGTGGATCCTTGCCGACCTGTAGCAGTATATCTGCTATAGGGCGATGGGAAAGCTGTTAAAATAGTCATGCCAAAGGTAGTGTAAATGATGATATAATAGTGACAGTTGCTGTTCGTGGTAGTTTAGTTTACTTTCTGTGTGTTTTTCAGCTGAATATGGATTTTCTGAAAGAGACCTTGAAAGCACAAGAAGCAATTTATTATGTATGGAAGGTGCAAGAGCCTTAAAAGAAACAGCTGCAAAGAAGTGGTCATTTGAAGCCCAAGATGGTTTAATTTTGGATGTTGACTTGGCAGATAGGAAAGCTGAAACAAGCATCCTTGGTGACCTTGAGGGGAACTTGGTACATTCTGAACACGATGATCAAGCGGGATCCACCAGTCAATTGAAAAAGCATATTCATGATGAAAGCCAGATTTTAAAAATTGCTTTTGATAATCAGTATGATAAAGCTAGTTCTTTCCCTGAGGAGATGGTTAGCACTCCAAGCAGTCCAAGATGCATGTCAAATTCAGTCCCTAGAAAACGATTGAAGAGAAGTATCGAAAGAGTAAACAAGTGGCTTCAAAAAACCTCAGAATTTTTAAATACTACACCATGGGATGAGGAATTGCTTTCTGAAGTTTTTTCCTGAATTAGATGAAGATGTATCTGACAAAGGTTCTTGTATGTCTGGTGAGACTGAAATTATGACAGCATTCTACCCCAGCACTGTGTTAGATGCTGTGGATAAGAAGGTCAATGTTCAAGACCAGATATTTGGCAAGGTATACAAGAGAGAGAAAAAGTCAAACCCTGTGCCCAAAATGGTTGTTTTTGCCAGTGTCCATGTTGATGGTGTTCTTGAATCTCCAAAGACAAATGAGGTTCCAAAAAGGTTAACAAGTGGTCTTCAAGCAGAAGACTCCATAAGGAGGGTAGAGATAACCAAGGAGAGTTCTTACACTATTGATGGAGATACATTGCCTGCAAAAGACATTTTATTAAATGCTGATAAAAATGAATCAAACCAGGATTCTAAGGATTCTAAATATCTGAACAATGATAAATCAAATGCACAAGAAACAAAATTAAAGACTCTAAATAGGTCTCTGAAAAGAGAGTCTGAAAGTTCCCTGGTATTCGTTAAAAATTCTGATCTTGGCATGGACAATCAAGATCCTTCTTACGTCTCAGAAATAAAAATGAATACCTTTCCCAGTAATGAATCGGGGCATGGGGATAACCAAAGAAATGTGAGACGAAGTAAGAGACTTGACATGTCAAAAAAAGTGGTACCCTCATCAAACCAAAAACCAGCAGGGACCAGTGGCAAAATAAATAAAAATAATGAGACAGTCTGTGTCAGTTCTGGTACTGAAACCGTTTTTTCAAGGGAAACAAATGTGCACTACTTTTAATGATTCAAAAGACCAAATAACTATGTTAACACCTAATGGTGAAGTAGTCTCAGCAGAGACAGATGTTGAAATTCACCCTGCTCACCCAGAATGTAAAACTTCTGATGTCAGCATTAAAGAGTGCTACAATATGCAAACTGAGGCTGTGAGAAATGTGTTAAGTGTTGAGGATATTGACTCAGACACTGACACTCAGCACTTGATGAAAGCTTTCAAAAGTGCTAAAAGGATGTCCTTCAAACTATATTCAATTAATGAAATAGACAATAAACCTTTTGATCCTGTAAACCTATCTGACACTACAGCTAACTTCTCAAATGGCTGTAAGGCTGGAATTGCATTAGCAGTGTCTGAGAGAAAAAGGAGCAAGTTATTCACACCAATGATGCTGTCCTTTCCAATGGCAACAATCTTGGGAAATTTAATGTTGGTGGGAAGGCAGTCCAACAAGAAAGTCTTATCCAAAATTTGCCTGCAAATCCAAAGTTTGAAAACACACGTTCTGTGGAGATCACACACATGCCTGAAAATGAATGTATGTTAAGTTCAGGTCAGGTGGATGTTTTTAACCCAGTTAATAAAACCGTACTCCATAAAGAAAGCAACCAGAAAAGAAAGTCTGTTTGTAAGAGAAAGTGAGGTATTTGTGTTGTGTTCAGAGATTAACACAAGACTGTGCCCTATAATTGCTCATCAAAGTCCTTCAGTGAGGCGAGAAGACACTAGAAGTGTGACCGCTCAAGGAGAAAATGAACAAGTAAAGCAAGATTGTTATCGGAAACAAAATTTTCATGAAGCGCAAGTAAATCAAATGAATTCTGATAATGGATCTCAAGATTCAATGATAGAGAAACTGCTACAGCATTCAGTGTCTCATCACAGTAGTTCTTTCCAAAGTCCCGACGTTAACTCAGATACACCCAATGGAATATTGGACATTACCGACAGGCCTGGAGAAGAACACCGTTTTTTGTGCTGAAGTGAAAAAATACTTTCTTTTTGCTAAAGAGCAAGAGGTTGCAGTTTCTGATAGTTCTAAGTCTCCAATTAATGAATCACAGCTCATTAAAAGGAAGAAACGAAGAGCACAGAAGTTGGAGTCCTCTGAAGAAGAATCAAGTGAAGATGAAGAGTTGCCATGCTTTAATAATTTTTTGTTTGGCAACGCATCAAACTCCGCTGTTCAGAAATCTAGTTTCTCACCAAAGCAGCAAGGAGGTGGGACGTTGGCCATGTTTAGTAGTTACAGTACAAGTGGTAAGACTCAGACAAGTTTGAACTTCCCTAGAGAAACGTTATTAGGAAGTCAGGAATCTGTGAATTTGTTCTCTTCCCAATCAAATACATCTGATCATTACACAAACGTAACTGTTGACCAAGGGCTCAAGCAGAACCAGTCTGAGTGCCATGAGAACATTTCTAAAAGAATGGGTGATACAATTCACAGTAATGGACAAGTGCAGAAGGGCTATGAGGCAACAGGCAATTTTTATGAAGACACATGCAAAGAGCACTACTTAGGTACTGTATCAATCTTGAAACTGCTTTAGGATTTTACATTATCTTTAAATAGAATTATGTTAGCTTTTTGCTTGTTTTATTTTGCTGCTTAAAGTTTGCTCATCTTACTCAAAGTGAGAGCCGTATTTAGACACCTTTTATACATACCTAAATGAATAAAATATGCCAATTACTACTCTAGAAATGTGCATGACAACCTGCAAATTAATTGCCATGCTTCAAATGAAAGTGCACTAGGTGCAATTAAAGTTGCATTAAATCCAAAATGAAAAATGTATTATATTGCAGCTTACAATTCACTAGATGTGGTGGCTGCATCCATTTTCTTTTCTTTGGCTTTTTTTTTCCCCCTGTTTCCCCTGGTGATCTGGCCAGTAACGCACCTGTATTAGTGACACACCACTTTGAAGGCTTGATCCAGGGCACAGCAGACAACCGCATTATCAGTCTGGGGGGGAGGGGAGTGTTAAATGTATTAGCAGATTACTCCAGCTCACTTTATGATCAGTTACAGCAAACATTTTTTTCCTTTTGGGATAAAAGTTTTACATGAATAAATAAAAGCTGATCATTTTAACCTCTTGGCGCCGGCTGAACGCAAATGTGCAACCTCCCAGCGTCTGGGCCTAGACACCGAGCGTCCGCACATTTGCGTTCTGTTCTAAGACACGTTCTGAGAGCGCACGCCCTTTGCGGTCCCAGCACACATGTCCAGTACTCATGGAAAGGTTCCGATCTCCTCTTTCAGTCGGGACCTTTCCCATTCATGTGACCGCTGTGACGTTGTGTCACGGCGATCACATGACTCTAAACCCTGCCCCTCCTCCCGGCTTCTGAAACCCTTAAAGGGCCGGGAGGCGCTGGTGCCAAGGGGTTAATCACCCCTGTCAGTGATAAATGGGTGGTTTCATCCATGTAACTGAAACGTTCTGCTGGAGAGCTTGTTCTTCTAAAACACAGCATAGTTACTGCTGAATCACCAGATGAAAATTGAAGAAAGCCTAAAAAGTAAACTAATGCAGTAATCACATCTAAGAATTGGTAAGCTGCAATATAATGTTTCCTTTATGTTTAATACTGCTTTAAAGCTGGCCATAAATAGATTGAAATTCATCCAATTCAGCAGGGAGTAGCTGAACTTTGGTCCATTTGTGGCTGCTCCTGCTCAACAGAAGTTGATCTAATGATCGGCTACAGAGAGACCCTGCTATCAGAATACAATGATGTTGATTGACTGAATAAAACTGGGCAGTGCAAAATCTGGTGCAGCTCTGCATAGAAAGCTTACAGATTTTATTGCTAAAGCTTAATTGAACAAACACGAAGTAAGAAGCTGATTGGCTACCATGCACAACTGCATGGTCAGCCTTAGTAAGTCCAATGTAGTGGGTGAGCAGGCTTCTTAAGCAAACCTTTTATCTGAGAAATGTGTAAACTTGTTAGTTGTCTTGCTGTCTTGTTAATCCTCCCGCTTCAATACTTGTTCAATGCCCTAGGACATGTATGCATAAAAGGACTCCTTTTTTTTTTTTTATTTTTTTTTATTTTTTTTTTTTGAACCTTCCTGGCTTGTATTGGAATAGTGACTCAAAGTATTGAAATCAGTGGTCAGCGTAGCAGCCAGGAAAGATTTATAACAGGTATACAGTACTTTAAGTGGGTAATTGCTGTCTTGCATGTAAATGATTATTTAACCATTTCCCAACCGCCCTATAGCAGATATACTTCTACAGGGAGGCACGGATGCGCAAAATCGCGTATATATACACGTGATTTTGCATTTCTGGCCGTGGCTGTAAATCACCAGGTCCCAGCCGGTGATTACTTGCCGGCACCCGGTGATTGACGAGGATCTCTGACGGGGAGGAGAACTGTATGTAAACAATACAGTTCTCCTCCCTTTCAGCTCGTGCACACTGCTTTGGGTGGCTGTGCACAGCATAGCCATCCAAAGCAGTGTGACTACAGTAAAGCACCAACACCCATCCCACAGTTAACCCTTTGATCGCACCTCATGTTAACCCCCTTCTTACCCAGAGCCATTAGTACAGTGTCAGTGCTTTCTTTTTTTAGCACTAATCACTGTATTGATGTCAGTGGCAACAAGTCAAGTTCCCCCCAGTGTCAGAATGCTTGCCGCATTCCCGCTTTAAGTTACTGATCGCCGCCATTACTAAGTAAAAATTAAAAAAATTCCAGTATATATTCCGCCATTTGTAAACACTATAACTTTCACGTAAACCAATTAATTTACACATATTGGGATTTTTTTTTTTTTTTTAGCAAAGACATGTAGCAGAATACATTTTGGCCTAAATTTATGACAAAATTAGATTTAAATTTTTTTTACTGGACATGTTTAAAGCAAAAAGTCAAAAATATTGTCGTTTTTTTTTTTTTTTTTTTTTTATAGCGCAAAAAATAAAAAACTCATAGGCGATCAAATACCATCAAAAGAGAGCTCAATTCGTGGGAAAAAAAAGAACATAAATTTTATTTGGATGCAGCTTTGCATGGCCGTGCAATTGTCAGTTAAAATAATGCAGCGCCGTAATGCAAAAAATGACCTGGTCACGAAGGGGGGTAAATCCTCTGGAGGGCAAGTGGTTAAAGTAGTCCTGAGATATCTAAAACTAGCATAGAGGTTAGTCTCCTATATCATTTGTCAGATTTGAACAAACAATCCTAAAGATGTGTACATGCTTGATAGAATTTTGTTTTGAAAAAGTGATTTCGGAAACTTCATTCGATGTTTTAAGGGTTGAGGACAAATTGATGTTTTGTTTTTAGCTATAGTGATGAAAAAATTCTAATAAGCAAGATGGAAAACTTCTCTCGAAGGAAAACCTAAGGGTTCTTTCATGCAGATTCTGACTGAACCACAATGTATTTCTATGGGTGTCAGATGTAAACAAATCATCATCTGTTTACATCTGCCTACACCCAGGTGTTCAGGTCTGTTTTTTTTCTTTCTTTTTTTTTTTTTTTTTTTTTTAAGCTCTTGCCCTCCAGAGAATTTACCCCCCTCCCTGACCAGGCAATTTTTTGTGATACAGCACTGAGTTACTTTAATTGACAATTGCGCAGGCATGCAACGCTGTACATACCGTATTTTTTGCTCCATAAGACGCACCTAGGTTTTAGAGGCGAAAAACAAGAAAAAAATATATTCTGAACCAGTGGACTGCAGACATATTACAGGAGATGACCAGAGACTGCGGACGCAGTACAGGAGATGATCAGAGACTGCGGACGCAGTACAGGAGATGATCAGAGACTGCGGACGCAGTACAGGAGATGATCAGAGACTGCGGACGCAGTACAGGAGATGATCAGAGACTGCGGACGCAGTACAGGAGATGACTAGAGACTGCGGACGCAGTACAGGAGATGACTAGAGACTGCGGACGCAGTACAGGAGATGACTAGAGACTGCAAACACAGTACAGGGAATGACCAGAGACTGCGGACATAGTACAGGGAAAATACCAGGGACATAGTACAGATGACCAGAGACTGCAGACAGTAAAGGAGATGACCAGAGACTGCGGACCTTTGGGGAGGGAGGGGGAGCGGGTACCTGAATTTGATAGGTACCCGCTCCAGCTTTCGCGGAGTTGTCCTTCCTTCCCCGGCACCTTCTGGGACCTGTCATGTGTCCCAGAAGACACCGAACCATTCACAAAGCGCAGCGCTTCTCACGCATGCGCAGTGGGCACCCGGCTGTCACAGAGGCCAGCGCGGGAAGACTGTACAGCGCTGGAGCGAGGAACAGGTAATGCCCTGCAGGAGAGAAGAGCTGAGCGGCCGGCCCGATATTCTGACATGGTGGCGGCAGAAATACCGGACCGGCCGCTTTATATTCGCTCCATAAGACGCATTGACATTTCCCCCCCTTTTTTGGGGGAAAAAGTGCGTCTTATGGAGCGAAAAATACAGTAAATGAAATTTTTGTCCTTTTTTTTTTCCCCCCACAAATCTTTTTTTTCAGTGGTATTTGATCACCTCTGCATTTTTATTTTTTGCGCTATTAAAAAAAAAAAAAAAAAAAGACCGACAATTTTAAAAAAAATAAAACAATATTTTTTACTTTTTGCTATAAAACATACCCAATAAGAAAAAAAATCAACTTTTGTCATAAATGTGGGCCAAAATGTATTCTGATGCATGTCTTTGCTAAAAAAAAAAAAAAAATCCCAATATGTGCAATTTAATTGTTTTACGTGAAAATTATAGTGTTTGCAAATGGCGGTATATATACTGGAATTTTGTTATTTTTTTTACTAGTAATGGCAGCAATCAGCAACTTATAGTGGGACTGCGGTGGGCATTCTGACACTGGGGGGAACTGACTTGGTGTCACTGACATCCCCAGTGACACCAATACAGCGATCAGTGCTAATAAAAAGCACTTACGCTGTACTAATGGCAGTGGGCAAGAAGGGGTTAACATCTGGGGCTATCAAAGGATTAATTATGTGCTGTGCTTTACACTGTAAGCACACTGCTTTGTATGGCTCTGCTATGCAGAGCCATACAAAGCAGCATACAGGAGCTGTTGTTTATACACAGGTCTCTCCCCATCTGTGATAATCGGCGATCGCCAGGTGCCGGCAGGGAATCACCGGCCGGGACCAGGCGATTGACAGCCGAGGCCGTGAATGGTGGCGCACGCGCGCCCCCTACCCTGGGCTGCAAAATCAGGTATATATTCGTGATTTTTTGTGCAGCCGTGCTACCCTGTAGCAGTATTTTTGCTATAGGGTGGCGGGGAAGTGGTTTAAACAGAACAAGTCTCTGCCCTTTCCTGTTTAGATGACTCTCCTTTACAGTATGTCTGTTCTGTTTGTCTGTTTTTTTGGCAAGAAACATTTTTGTTTATACTTTTGTCACCAGTGGTTGGTTTCTGCAGCAGCTAAAGGAACATAAACAAAAATGAATGTCTGACTGATGTAAGTTGAACTGAATTGAAGTGTTAACTGAAGTAAAGACAAATGTACAAACTGATGTAAATTATGTAAACTGAATCCATTTTTTCTTAGCAAAAAAACATGACTGAACGGATGACTCCTGTGTGAAAGGACCGTAAACCTCTGTTCACATGGAGCGATTTGATCCAGCCATGTTTTACTGGCATGGTGATGCACCAGTGTTGTGTGCCTCCCCGTGCTGGCAGCCCCATAGCTGTCTATTGGAATGCAGCGGCTGCATGGACACAGCCACTGATACCAATAGGGTGCCGATGCATGGCCCCAAATGCATCCAGAGTTCGTGGACATGCACCAACACTCATCTGGATGTCATATTGGAAGCAGAAATTGTGTCTATGCAGCTGTGTCATCCCAATAGACGAAGTCCTCACCTCTTACCTCTTAATAGATAAAATCCCAAAAAACTATCAAACACTTCCAGAGCCCTTAGCAGAACACTTCTACTGAAAACCACACTTATAAAGATAGTTACCGTATTTTTCGCTCCGTAAGATGCACCTGACCATAAGACGCACCTAGGTTTTAGAGGCAAAAAACAAGAAAAAAAATATTCTGAACCAATGGACTGCAGACACAGTACAGGGGATGACCAGAGACTGCGGACACAGTACAGGAGATGACCAGAGACTGCGGACACAGTGCAGGAGATGACCAGAGACTGCGGACACAGTGCAGGAGATGACCAGAGACTGCGGACACAGTGCAGGAGATGACCAGAGACTGCGGACACAGTGCAGGAGATGACCAGAGACTGCGGACACAGCGCAGGAGATGACCAGAGACTGCGGACACAGTGCAGGAGATGACCAGAGACTGCGGACACAGCGCAGGAGATGACCAGAGACTGCGGACACAGCGCAGGGGATGACCAGAGACTGCGGACACAGTGCAGGGGATGACCAGAGACTGCGGACACAGTGCAGGGGATGACCAGAGACTGCAAACACAGTGCAGGGGATGACCAGAGACTGCAAACACAGTGCAGGGGATGACCAAGAGACTGCAGACACAGTGCAGGGGATGACCAGAGACTGCGGACACAGTGCAGGGGATGACCAGAGACTGCGGCAGACAGTGCAGGGGATGACCAGAGACTGCAGACAGTGCAGGGACTGACCAGAGACTGCAGACAGTGCAGGGAATGACCAGAGACTGCTGACCTTTGGGGAGGGAGGGGGAGTGGGTACCTGAATTTGACAAGTACCCGCTCCCACTTCCGCAGAGTTGTCCTTCCCTCTTCTTCCCGGGCCGGCCTCTGTGACAGCCGGGTGCCCACTGCGCATGCGCGAGAAGCGCTGTGCTTTGTGAATGGCCCGGCGCCTTCTGGGACCTGTCATGTGTCCCAGAAGACACCGGATCATTCACAAAGTGCAGCACATTCGCAGTGGGCACCCGGCTGTCACAGAAGCCAGCACGGGAAGACTGTGCAGCGCTGGAGCGAGGAACAGGTAAGGCCCTGCAGGAGAGAAGAGCTGGGCGGGCCGGCCCGGTATTCTGACAAGGTGGCGGCAGAAATACTGGACCTGCCGCTTTATATTCGCTCCATAAGACGCACTGACATTTTCCCCCCTTTCTAGAGCTGCCATGGAAGATCAAATATATAGTAATAAAAACATGTATATAACTCTTATGCAGCCAACCTCTTTGCATATTTTATTTTTAAGAGTTTATTTATATATACACTGTATTGCAAAAGTATTGGGATGCCTGCCTTTACACGCACATGAACTTTAACCTCCCTGGCGGTATGAATATTTCAGATTTTTGGTGCTGAAAGCGGTACCATTATTTTGCATGGAAATTTGGCGTTTTATATTGTAGGCCTGTAATTCTTAGGAATAACTCACTGAAATCTGTCCAAACAAGAGTCTAGTAAACATTCCGGGTATGATAAAACTTGAAACACGAAATCATAAATTATAATTTAATAAATAATCATAAAAAATAATATAATACATTTAATTCAATAATCTAATCAAACCAAAAACACTGAAATTTGAAATATAGCGCCAAGTTTGCACATCACTGAGCAAAGTCGCAAAATCCTTTTCAGTGTCTGACGAATTTCCCCACGAATCATCACTCAATTCTGCAAGTAGTTCAAATTTACTATCGCTGTTCTCTAGCTGGTCTAAAAACGATTTTGACCTAAAGGGACGCTTTTTGGACGCCATGGACATTTCTCAGTTTCCAGGTAGAAAGAACAGTAAAAATGAAGGCAGGGCACAGTACAAAGCACTAGGGACAAAATGTATGTGAAATGGTTTGGTACAGATATGTTTTACTATGTGATTTTTGTGAATGTCACTTTTTGTCATTTTCAAATTTCCCGCCGTTCTGTCCCCCGTACGTCCCGACGCTCGCAGGGGACGGAACCCAGAAGACAGGTTCCGGCATCCGTTGGATTACATTGCCGGGGACACTGCAGGCGGGACATCGCGGGAGCGCAGGACAAGGTAAGTGAGCAAGGGATCGCGGAGCAGCGCCGCATGGTAAGCCCGAGTGTAGCTCGGGGTTACCGCTTGTGGTACTGAAACATTACCCCGAGCTACACTCGGGAATACCGCCAGGGAGGTTAATGGCATCCCAGTCTTCGTCAATAGGGTTCAATTCTGAGTTGGTCACCCTTTGCAGCTATAACAGCTTCAACTCTTCTGGGAAGGCTGTCCACAAGGTTTATGATTGTGTCTATGGGAATGTTTGACCATTATTCCAGAAGTGCATTTGTGTGGTCAGGCACTGATGACGGACAAGAAGGCCTGGCTCCCAATTTCCACTAATTCATCCCAAAGGTGTTCTATTGGGTTGAGGTCATGACTCGGCCCACTGTGCAGGTCAGTCAAGTTCCTCCACCCCAAACTCACTCATCCATATCTGTATGGACCTTGCTTTGTACACTGGTGCACAGTCATGTTTAAACAGGAAGGGGCCATCCTCAAACTGTTCCCACAAAGTTGGGAGCATGAAATTGTCCAAAATGTCTTGGTATGCTGATGCCTGAAGTGTTCCCTTCACTCGAACTAAGGGTCCAAGACCAACCACAGAAAAAACAACCACATGCCATAATCACCCCTCCACCAAACTTTGCACTTGACGCAATGGAATCAAGCAAGTACCGTTCTCATGGAAACCGTCAAACCCAGACACGTCCATCAGATTTCCAGACAGAGAAATTTGATTCGTTACTATAGAGAACAGGTCTCCAATGTGGCAACGTGCTTTACACCACTGCATCCGAATCTGTTCGGCCATGGAAACCCATTCCATGAAGCTCTCTATGCACTGTTGTGCTAATCTGAAGGCCACACGATATTTGGAGGTCTTTAGCTATTGACTCTGCAGACAGTTGGTGACTTTTGTGCACTGTGTGCTTCAGCATGCGCTAACCCCGCTCTGTCATTTTACGTGGCCTACCACTTGGTGGCTAAGTTGCTGTTGTTCCCAGTTGCTTCCACTGTGTATGTATATGTATGTATATATATATATATATGTATTGTATATGTTATATATATATATATGTGTATATATATATGTATATATATGTGTATGTATATGTATGTATAGTATATTATGTATGTATATATATGTTTTATGTATATATATGTATGTGTATTTATATTTTTATGTATTTATATGTATGTGTTTTTTTTTTTATTTATTTTTATGTATTTGTATTTTTATGTATTTTTGTATTTGTGTTTTATGTATTTTTATATGTTTGTATTTTTATTTATATATTTGTATTTATATTTATGTGTTTTATATGTATGTTTTTATTTATAGTATTTTTATTTTTTTTTTTTTTTTTTGTATATTTTTGTATTTTATTTATTATTTTTTTATGTATTTTATGTTTATTTTGTATTTTTTTTATTTTTTTATATGTATTTTTTTTTTTTTTTGTTTATGTTTATTTATTTATTTATGTATTTTTTTTTTTGTATGTTTTTTTATGTTTTTTGTTTTTTTTTATTTTTTTTTGTTTATTTATTTTTTTTTTTTTTTTTTTTTTTTTTTTTTTTTTGTTTTTATTTTTTTTTTTTTTTTTTATTTTTTTTTTTTATTTTTTATTTGGTATTTTATTTTTGTTTATTTTTTTTTTTATATTTATATGTTTTTTTGTATTATTTTTTATTTTTTTATTTTTTTATTTTTTTTTTTATTTTTTTTTTTTTTTTTATTATTATATGTATGTATGTTTTTATTTTTTTTTATTTATTTTTTTTTTTTTGTTTTTTATTTTTTTATTTGTATTTTTTTTTTTTATTTTTTGTTTTTTTATATTTTTATTTTTTTTTATTTAATTTATTTTTATTTTATTTTTTTTATTTATTTTATTTTTTTTTATTTTTTTTTTATTTTTTTTATATATTTGTATTTATGTATAATTTTATGTATGTATTTTATGTATGTTTTATATGTATTATTTTATTGTATGTTTATGTATTTTTATGTATTTTTATTATATGTATCAAGCGTTTACACCCAGAGATGGACGCGGATCAACCATTTTGGCTTCAACCTCTATCTTGGCAAAGGGTCAACCATCTTGACAAACATATTTCTCCCTCATTCCCCCCCCCCCCCCCCCCTCTGTTCATACACATTGACATATGGCCTGTGTGTTAGGAGTGTCACAGGCCAGCCAGGGCACAGCAGGGAGCCCCAGAGCTATAAAACATTTTTGAGCTGAAGCGCCTGGTTATTTAAGAGAGCTGTGCAATCTAGCACATTGTAAAAGATAACGCAAGCCTTCTCAGGAGTTCAAAGACATTCCAGACAAGCACGAACTAGATAACACTTTTAAAATCCATTTTTCCCCTATGTCTCATATCTTGGAATATTAGAGACTTACATAAAAACCAGGCATATCTTCAGATTGGCCACGAGGAGACAAACCGTTTGATAGGTCACTCTCCTTGGCTGGAATATATAGGAAAGCAGAAAAGTAGATCTCTTGAACCATTCAGTGTATAATTATTATTTCATATATTTAATCCTCAGATGTGTCTGCATAATAATCTACCCGCGGGTGGAATGTCACTTGTGCATAGGGAAAGCCAAAATATGAACTATAAGAGATTTTGGCTCTAGTTTAGGTCTACGCACAGACCTTCCCTCCCTAAACGGGGCATTGGTCCTTGACTTCAGAGACACCCCCTGCTAGGGAACAACAAAATGGGCTGTCAGGCCTAAGAGGGGAAGTTGAAGAATTCTCCCTTTTTAACATCAGAATCAACCTGGGAGACATGCCCTTTTGCTTTGAAACTTGATGTGCAAACCCAAGGCTGATTGGCAAGTACTTTAACCCTTTAACCTCCTTTCTGTTACCTTTTTGCTGTGCTGTTCTCTGTATTTTTATATATATATATTGGTTACATCTTTTTTCTGTAAATATTTTTATTGCACCCTCCTTGACCTTTTAGTAATAAATCTTTCCTTCTGAAAGTGTTGAACTGTTTCTATAGCTCATTATTGCAACTTACGAATTCCTGCCTCTAAAAGAGCTGTGGTGGTTTATGTAAGGATTTCTTCTACTTATAAAGGGCGTGTCCCTTTCCCTTAGATGAAATATTACAGTGCCTCCAGCCGTTAAAATACGGCAAATATTTAGTAAACCAATAATTTGGACACCTTGATAATTTGATCACCACTTATTATTATACCTTGAATTCTTTTAGCCAGTATGATTTCGTACCATACACACAAAATTTGCCTTATAATAGATAAATATAAAAATTTATTTATGTACAAAAATTATATATATATTAACACAAAACGCAAAAGACTGGTGATAAATGGATATTGATACACACAATCAAAGATATACCCTACCAATGTAATACACAATAATAAGGTTTCTAACTAATTACATCAATATAACAATTTTTATTAAATGATCTGATTATTAATTAAATTTATTAATAATTAATAATTTCGAGTATCTCAAAGGTTATATTCTCACAAACCGTGGCCATAGGATTGA